AAAATTCTTTCTTCCAACCTCTATGGGGGAGAAATAATCAAAAATTACGAATCAGAATCGATATACAACTTGTCTGTACTATATGTAACAAGGATTCCTGTAGAAATATGTTCCCAGGCTCAGTTCCATGTTCTCTTACGGATATTTTAAGAATGTGATACCTGCGGAATTATCGTGTGGTGTTTATTTGTGATACCTGGAGAATTATAATGTGGAGTTCATGCATGAAAAGTCCAGCTATTCCCGATTCCTTTCTTCATGCCATTTTAAACTGACCTTTCTTAGTTCCATTCCTGCACATAATTTGTATTTTCAGATTCAATTGCAAAATTTCATGGTTTCCGGTTTTAACACTCTACCATGCACAACCAAGATTTTGAAGTCTATGCGGATTTGATGGCAAAGTTGTATGGTTTTCGCTTCTAGCACAGTAACACTGCCATGCACAATGGAAATGACAAATGCAATCATAGAGCAATCAAATATAGCCCTCACTCCACGCATTTATTTCTGTGTGGAAATGACGAGAATTGCTCAAATGTAGAGAGCTTCAGATATAAGATTATGATCCATCAATCAGATAACACAAGTTGTGCGGAACACTCTGGTGGCTGGTGCAATCATACAGCTTTGCGACCTTCGCTTCTACCAAAATTAGTTATATATGCCATCAGCTAATCTTTTAAAGTTATCTCACACAAACCCACCGATCTACGAATTTAACTTGTAAGGATGGGCAAACCTCGAACGGCCTTCCATGTTGCTGGAGTAAGTCACAATGATACTTGCACAACCCGATTGGATGGTTAGAGGTTTATGTATCCATTGCAATGTCACGACAAAGCCCTCCATAGCTGAACACCACACAAATTTTGGAATCATGGGATCAGGCAGTGGAACAAACTTCAGCATTGCCGAGAAAATTACTACACGGTTTCCATCTCTAAGTAACATCCCTGCATGTACTTGCTAACCTGCATGGGGACAAAGACCTCCATTGAATCCAAGAGTGAAACATCCAAAAGGTAGTGGGACGTGTGGAGTGTAAGATGGAGAGGAATGAATTTTGTAGGTGCGCTAAAGACGACTGGAATCTCATTTCAACCTGTATCTTATTCAAGAGTAAGCAAAGTTTGAGAAGACTTTGTTTTCTATTGCCGGCATGGTGAACTGAATTTTCAACACTTTGGAACATAATCTGGTAATGAAGATGCATTAAGGAAATCCTGTGGCATGACAGCTCGTGCACAGTGGAACATTTCTACATTCTAGTAGGGAGCACAGGAATTTTCGCGGTTCCATTTTGACTATTATTAGAAGAACTTTGATTTTCTTTGTGATAACATGATCCTACTTCTGGAAGTGGTACTTGCAGTCCAATCTTCAGTGGAATGGATTTTCTAGGCGCACGAATGACTATTGCAATCTCTATTCGACCTGTAATTTTTGTACTTCCTCTTTTGTTTGGTGGGTCTAGTGTACAGACTTGTAGATTAGATATCAAGTGGTGGCGAAATTCATAGCAGTCGCTGCGCACAATAATTGTAATTATAGAGACAGCTAAACCAATTATGTTTAAACCACATTAGTAGTTTCAATGGAAAGTTGGAGATAAAATATGCTTATTGTCGGCTGGAACTTAGAAGAGCTTGGATTGCAAGTCAGTAGTGAACGTGTGGAGTGTAAGATGGAGAGAGATGAAATTTCTAGGTGCGCTATTGCGCTAAGGACGACTGGAATCTCAGTCAACCTGTAGTTTATTCGAGGGTAAGCAAAATTTTAGATGATTTTATTTTCTCTTGCACAGCATGGTGAATTGAATTTCAGCACTTTGGAGCATAATCTGGTAATGTAGATGGATTTAGGAAATCCAATGGCATGACAGCTCCTACACAGTGGAACATTAGTAGATTCTCCTAGGAGACAGAGGGATTTTCCTGGTTCCATTTCAAACATTATTACAAGCACTTCGATTTTCTTTCTGATAACATGACCCTACTTCTGGAAGTGGTACTAAAGAAGAATCATTGTAGGATACAATTCTTTGGCAACACATGCCATTTTTCTTCATGTTTGGAATTTCTACGCAAGAAAAACAAAATTTCAAGGTATAACTGTTTAATCTGCTCCACTGTAATCTAGGCCCATTGACATAAGTGATATAGCTATATAGACCTCTCTCTTTTATGCGAAAATGTGGAAACTTCTACCATTTCAGTGCAAAAAGTAATATGCCCGCTTTAATCTTGATTTTTATAATCAAATAGATGTAGTATATCAAGTTCCATTTCTGCGCTTCAGTGAGAAAAATATGGAAATCAATGGTATACTACAATGATTTACTTGGAGTTATGTGTAAAGTTTATGTGGTAAAGGTAATGTCATTATAAAAATGTAATTTATTTATTTGTTTGATGGTATTGCCAACACAAAAGAATTGGCTAACTGTAGTCAACCCCCCACCTCCCCATCTTACTTCCAACCCCTTTGGGGGAGGTATAATAAGAAACTACGAATCAGAATCGATATACGGCTTGTCTGTACTATATGTGACAAGGATTCCTGTAGAAATATGTCCCAGGTTCAGTTCCATGTTCTCTTACGAATATTTTAAGAATGTGATACCTGTGGAATTATGGTGTGGTGTTTATTTGTGATACCTATTACCTGGGAATTATGGTGTGGAGTTCATGCATGACAAGTCCTGCTATTCCCGATTCCTTTCTTCATGTCATTTTTAACTGACCTTTCTTAGGTCCATTCCTGCACATAATTTGTATTTTCAGGTTTGATTGCAAAGTTTCATGGTTTCCGGTTTTAACACTCTACCATGCACCACCAAGATTTGAAGCCCATGCTGATTTGATGGCAAAGTTTTATGGTTTTCAGTTCTAACACAGTAACACTACCATGCACAATGGAAACGACAAATGCAATCATAGAGGAATCAAATATAGCCCTCACTCCATGCATCTATTTCTATGTGGGAATGATGACAATTGCTCAATTGTAGAGAGTTCTAGTTATAGGATTATAATTGATCAAACAGATAACTCAAGTTGTGCTGAACACTCTGGTGGCTGATGCAATCATACAGCGTTGCGACCTTCGCCTCTACCAAAATCAGCGAATCCATGAGCAATCATATATGAGATGAGTTAATCTTTAAAAGCATTATCTCACACGAACCCACTGATCTAAGAATTTACATGTAACTTGTAAAGATGGGCAAACCTTGAGCGGTCTTCCAAGTTGCTTGATTATAAGTCACGGTGAGACCTGCACAACCCGATTGGATGATTAGAGGTTTATCGTTTATGTATCCACTGCAACATAACGACAAAACCCTCCATAGCCGAACACCACACAAATTTCTGAATAATTGGACCAAGCAGTGGAACAAACTTCGGCATTGCCAAGAGAAGTACTACACGTTTTCCATCTCTAACTAACATCCCCGATGCACCTGCCAACCTGCATGGGGACAAAGACCTCTATTGAATCCAAGAGAGAAACCTCGAAAAGGTAGTGGAACGTGTGGAGTGTAAGATGGAGAGGAATGAATTTCTAGGTGCGCTAAGGGCGACTGGAATTTCATTTCAACCTGTTGCTTATTCAAGGGTAAGCAAAGTTTGAGAAGACTTTGCTTTCTCTTGCCTTGCATGGTGAACTGAATTTTCAACACTTTGGAACATAATCTGGTAATGTAGATACATTAAGGAAATCCACTGGCATGACAGCTCATGCACAGTGGCATTTCTTCATTCTCGTAGGAAACACCGAGATTTTTGCGGTTCCATTTTGACTATTATTGGAAGAACTTTGATTTTCTTTGTGATAACGTGATCCTACTTCTGGAAGTGGTACTAAATAAGAATCATTATATCATACAATTCGTTGGCAAACACATGGCGTTTTATTTTATTGTTTGGCTTGTCTACGCAAGAAATGCAACCTGGAAAATAATTGAAACTAGCTGGATTCACCTTGCTGCCAGATATTGCAGTTATATGTCTATATGTAAAATATGGATGTTGCTATACGACTGTAATGCTTATGACCGGAGATACGGTTTTCTAAGATAACTGTATCAACCTTGACGTATATCTGATTAATCTGCTCTGTTATATTCTAGGCTCAGCTCACTGATGTAAGCAATTAGGCCTCTTTTTTTATGTGACTAATGTAGAAATTTCTAGTATTTCAGTACAAACAGTGATAAGCCCCCTTAATCTTGATTTATAATAAAATAGATGTAGCCATTTATGTGCTTCAACGAGAACAGTACGGAAATCAATGGTATTACTACAATGATTCATGTGGATTCATTTGTAATCTACATGAAAAGAAACAAGAGCTAGAAATTTAATGTAAATGTAAAACAAATTTATTTATTTGCTTGCTGGTATGGTGAAAACGAAAGAAATGGTTAAGGATACAATCAACCAAGAAATTCTCACTTCCTAGCCTGTTGCAGAGAAATAACTTAAAATTGCAAATTGAAATGATACTACAAATTGTCCGAACTATATGCAACAAGGATTCCTGTAGAAATACATTTGCGAGGTTCAAAATTCCACGTTTTCTTACGAATATTAGGAATGTTATTCTTGTGGAATCAGGGGGTAAAGTTTTATAACTTTATATGTAGAAATTCTTGGAGTTAGAATTTCGGAGGGCTGCTATTCCGGATTCCTTTCTTAGAGCCACTACTGTACATAATTGGTATTTTGAATCAGATTCCATGGCAAAATTTCAGTGTTTCCAGTTCCAACACTCTACCATGCACAACCAAGATTTCGAAGTCTATGCTTGTTTGACGGCTAAAATTTGCAGTTTCTGGTTCTAACTCAATAGCACTACCATGCATTAATCTAAACTGGGAAGTCTATTTACAGTTCCTGAATATTGTACTCTAGGAAAACGAGAAATTTCAAGGTGAAAGAAGAACAAATTATGAATGTGATACGATAAGTTTAGAAATATGTACTCTTGGCGCAAATCAATGAGCTCATTGGTATTTACCTTTTGGAGTAGCAAATTATCATCCTATAAGTTAGACAGGTTGAGAATGCAGATTCATTGTCTTCTCTTTCCTTCTAGAAAACACCCTGGATGGTGTATTGTGCATTAAAGAGAGAAGTTATCTGCACAGCAGGTACAACGCCGCTGAGGGCTAGAGACAAAACGATACTCCCTCCGTTCACTTTTGTAAGTCGTTTCAGACAACTCAAAATAGGCTGTTTTGCATATTGTCTGAAATGTCTTCAAGGTCTTATAAAAGTGAACAGAGGGAGTAATAAACTTTTCTAGAGATTCATTGCTCATGCTTGCTGATTCTATTTAGTGGTACTCCTTGGATTTCTCTTTAGTGAAAAAAATCCACATGTTAGTAATTTTCTTTCTGCTGTCTACTCTGATTAAGTGATCATTATATCTGCGTACATGTGCTCTGGATTTTCATTCTAGTTTACTTGTTTTCTCTGCAGACATATTATCTGATGCAGTTTTCTGAGACGAAGGCACTAGGCGATGCTGTTGGATTTGGGTCCGCCTTTCTGTTTGCCTCTGTGTTTGGTATGTTTCACCCTCTTGCGCTTGTATCTTCACGAAATCGAAATCTGACGTCGCAGAATCTCCTGTTTGTTCAGGTATCAGGTTGTACAATACCCGGAAGCTGGTGCCATCCGGCCTTCTTTTAGCTCTCTCTCTAGGTGCCCTGGGAGTCTTTTATGCTGCTTACTTACAAGACAAGGTGTGAGCTAATTGCCAGACCAGCTCTACTTTTCTGTACTACTAACTGAAGATGCTTCCTTCAAGGTTCCCTCTCATAAATGGAAAAAATTTGGGGCCGAGCACCGACGGTCGGTGTTCCTCCCAACGTTGTAGTCTCAACAAACAGCATTTAGTGCCCCTCTGTTTGTTGCCAATGATAAGCTGTGGCCAAGCTTTCATTCGCCGATAGCGCTGATTGCAGCTGTTTAGGACTTGTGAGCTGAATGTTTCAGAACCTGTGAGATTTCTGCCAGTGGTCGGCCTAAACCGTCGGCATGGCGCGAAGAGGTAGGTTGCCTGTAACCTGTGGATCACTGCTCGGCGAGTACCGGCAGCAATACGCCGCGGACCGACCGTCGGGCGGGCGCGAATCATCACGCGTGCCCAGCCGTGCCGCGCCCATCTATCATCTAGATACTGGTTGCCTAACAAAATCTGGGGCCTGTGGTGAGTCGCGATGCGGCACCACTCTGTTGATGGATGCTAATTGGCCGTCCGCCCTACGTGTGATGTGATGTGATGTGGGTGTGGTACTGGTACCGCCGCTGCTTTGCACGCCGCTAACCGGACGCCCATCGGTTTCTAGGGCAGGCGACATGGGAGGCCTACTGTCGTTCCTTGGTAGGTGGTGGCTGTACTGTATTGTGCATTGGTAGTACAAATCCGGGTGTGTTCGCTTGTTCTTGGGCCACCGCATTATTGGTGTGAAGGCATATATGCATCGTACTACTTTTACTACTAATGCGGTGCCACTCTGTGGTACGTAGTACGTTTCACGTAGGAATGAATCATTGCAGTTATAGCTCTCTGACAGAGCGCACGCTGTTGCACAATGCCTCGTCGGTGTTCCACTTGTTCACCGGAGGTTCTGCCCCCCCTCCGTCGGGCATGTGGTTTTCGCACACGGTGCAGCGGGCAGCGTTGCAGGGGCGGAATCCGCAGCGAAGGCACAGGGTCTGGTGAGCAAGGTGGTACTACGTGACATTGGCCGCTCAATCATTCATGGCGTCCTCGTCGACCTCCACCGCAGAGAAAAGCGTACGGGGCGTGCCGGCTGGCACGAAAGTAACTGTCCTGAACTAACTGGCACATCAGCTGCGGTGGCGCTGGCCTTATACACGGGGGAAGGCCCAAACTGGATGGACCGGCGTTGTCGTCTCCTCTCTTTCGATCCCGTGTCCGCCAGTTGGACGAGCTTGTTCTCTCCGTGTCCGCATCGACCACTCCCACGTGATAAAGCAACAAGAACCATTCGTCCCCATGCAGATAGATAAGGCGGTGCTAGCCAGCCATGCATCGTGCGCCTGGCTAGCTTCAGCATTTAGCTACTCGTCAGGCCGTCAACGACAGCGAGACGTGTGAAATTCCTCCGAGGAGCGGAAACGGAAGCCTGGCGGTGGACGGAGTTAAAGTCCTGGCATTTCCGGATGGAGAAAGAGGTTGCGCATTGATGTCCCGTGTTTGGGCACCATCAGCAGGTTCCCCTCGCGTTAACGTCCGCCCTCCCGTGCGCGGCAGCGGCAGCGGCCGTGGCACCCTGCACCCACCACCTCCACCACCCCCCATAACTCCGCGCACGGGCCCTCCGTTTCAGGCTCCCTCGCGCGGGCCAAAGCGCCCTTTTTCCGCCTGTTTGCGTGCGGTTTGCCACGGCACGGCGCGCGCAAGCGGCCACGGGGTTGACGCGCCCTAGAACGTCTCGTGGCCCGTGCCCCCTGGCATTCAGCTCTCACGGGGTTCCTCCCTACCAGTGCCAGACGTGTCGCAAAATCGAAATTTTGAACCTACGTACCCATGCTAGAAAGCGGAAAGTGGTGGTGGTACAAGTGTGTGTCAGTGGTGAGTGGACATTCAAACCAAAAAGTGTGTGCTGGATGAACAGGGGGCACCAGGTAGATTCGTGTTATCAGCCGAGACCGACGATTTCTTCTTGGAAGCAATCTACCAGGAGCAGCTACGTACTACATTGCAGGAATCGGCCACGTACGTACGTGATGCGGCACTACACGCGCCACGCCGGGGGAGGCAGGGGTTGCCGGCGGCGGGGCGGCGTCCTCTGCCGGGGCGCCGTCGGCCTGGCGGCCGGCTCCGTGGCGGGGGCGAACACCTCGTCCCAGATCTCCGCGAAGGCCCGGAGGATGGCGTCGTGGTGCCGCGGCGCGTTCAGCGCCAGGAAGCGCCGGAGCAGCTCGCGCAGCTCGTCCCCCGTCACGATCCCGTTCTCCACGATCATGTTCACCATCGACCGCCGGAAGTCGCCCAGCGGGTCCTCCGACTGCTTCACCACCGCCACGCTCCCGTCCAGCCTCCCGCTGCCGCCGCCGCCGCCGAAGCCGTTGCCGTTGCCGTTGCTGTCGCAGCTCATCGCTTTCCGGTGCTTCGGCGCCGGCGGCGGTGTCGGCGAGCGCTTCTCGTCTTCTTTGCTCTTGGATTTATTATTGTCCTCCTCGGCCTTGGCGCTCCGGACCGGCTCCAGCGGCGGCGGCGGGGGCAGCGGTCGCGGTGGCTGTGGCGTGAAGTGCGCGTCGCCTTCTTGCCTGCTGGCTTTGTCAACGCTCTTCACCCTCCGATGCTGCTGCGTTGGGACCTGCACGGACGGCGGCGGGAGCGGGCGCGGCCGCGGCGGCGAGAAGTCCCCGTGGCCCTCTTGGATGCTGGGCTTGTCGTCGCTGCGCACAGCTCGACGCTGCACGGGCCGCGACGGCAACGGCGGGGGCGGCGGTGGAGGAGGAGGGGGCGGCGGCGGTGGCGAGAAGTGTTTTCTTGGGGGGCTCTTGGTCCGCGCGCACGACTTGATGCTCCGCTCGAGCTCGCTGAGCTCGCGCAGCAGGCCGGAGAAGCTGGGCGTGGTCGCGGAGCTCGCCCGCTTGCACTCGACCTCGTCGGCGTCGGCGTCGGCGTCCTCCCAGAGGAAGGAGGAGGAGGCGGAGGGCACGGTGAGCGTGCCGGTGGACGTGGACACCGACGGGTGCGTCCTGCTGGCCCTCCGCGACGTGGCCGTGGTCGCCGTGGACGCCTCCGTGCCGGAGCGCGGCGACGAGGCGGCCACCGCGACCGCCACGGCCTTGGGGTCCTTGCAGCCGCAGCCGAGCGCGAAGCCGACGCCGCCGAACCGCTTCCTCGCCGCGACGCCGTGGCTCATCCCTGTCGCTCCCGGTCACTCGCAGCTTCCCACAGTGATCTTGGACGGTGGCCGGCCGGCCTTATATCGCAGAGGCGCAGGCAGCTCACAGTGGCATATGGTGGCTCGCTCCCCTCGCTCCCGACCCCCGAGTTACGAAGTTATGAAGCCAGCGACGAAGAAGCTACCGAGCTCAGCTGCGTCGCATGTAGTAGAGTACATGTAGCACTGCCACTGCGTACGCGCACGCGGACGGATACAGTAGACGTGACGACGCGCGATCCGCACCGTCCGTCCGTCCCCCTTTCGCTTAAAGACACGACTGATGGTCAGTTGGATCGGATACTCCGCTAAGCTAAGCTAATAATTTACTAGGCCGTGAAGCAGATCTCCTCCAATCTCCAAACCACTGTCGCGACGAGCAATAAATACGCGCAGAACGGAAAGCTGACCGGCCATTGTAGCTCGTCCTCATTACGCCGGCCAGTGAGCCGTGCCCTTCGCGGCGATGTTGGACAGATACAGCGGAACCACTCCCACAGAATACACCAACAGTGGCGCTGTCGTGTACTCATTACGCGCACGTAGGGGTAGGGGTACGGGTACGTGTTATGTATGCCCCCGCGCATGTGCAGTCGTACATTACATATGGACGCACTCGCACCGTGGAGCTACAACTGGGATGGTCCCTGCCATGGGTCTGCCGCACCTGTCTGGCGTAGAACCAGGATAGATTTTGTGCTCCGATTGTTCCTTCGGACTCGGGTCAGGAATGGAGGGTGCCGCGGGCCGGCCGCCATGGAGCCGCTTGTCCTCACCTGGGAGCGGGGGAGCAAGGCCACCGGTTCCGCTGGATTTCTGCGACTTTCGGGCGGGCTCGCATGTGCCCGCCGTTGGCCGGACTGATCGACCCATCGACCGAATCTTCCGATCGTGAGTGTACCCGATGCTACCACAGTGCCAAGGAGGTGATTTCTTATCTTAATCAAAGCCGATCGCTGTAGTAGGTTCTGTAGCGGCTAGCTAGCTAACCACCCGTGTCGGTCCCGCGCCACAGATCCGACTAGGATCCTCTGATGGGCCTGCGCATGTGCTTCTAGTTTTTGTATATCTGCGGACATCGCTCTCGTGATAAAATTAAGGCCGGCTTCCCTGAGGCAGGTGGCGCTCCATTTACGCCGCCACCGTCCGCCGGATGAATGTGCTCGTATCCTGCAGCGGCGGGGTGGTACGGCGGTCCATCAATCTCTACGGTCAAATCGTTCGAGTTGAAGGCCCATAAAAGCCCCTGGGGGTTGCTCCTGCTCTGAGATCCACCATCTTCCTCGGGCCGGCCGCAGAGGTTGTGCTCGATTGCGCTTCTGCGGACTGCGGTGCGACCACCGCAAGATCGTTCCGGCTGGTCTGACCCCAGGTTTCATCATGGCAAAACCGGATGGATGGATGATGGAAGGAAGTGCGACCGAATTACTGGTGGAGTAATGAAGCTGCTCGGAAGCACGCCTTCCGGAGGTCGTACGTAATCCCCCTTTTGAGGGGAAAATCCTTGATTAGCTCCACCGACTGTGTTTTATAGTAGGAATTAAAATCTAAACTTTGACGGTACTATGAAACCGCCCATATCATTTTGAATTTTTTTATATACCCAGCCTGTTTTAGATAGCAGTTGTTCCGCATGTCTTCAAAGAATATGAGAACCATTTTTTTTACGGGTGAGAATATGAGAAGCATTTAAAACCGAAACTCTGTTTTATGTGTCCAACAATGCTAGATCAATTGCTATCATGCACAGCACATGATGAAATACCAAAAAAAAAATATAAATCACATGTCATCGCAAATTGAAGAGATGGCGGATGACACATGCGTGCGACACGCAACTTCCGTGTGACGGATTACGAGGTGAGTAATGGCGGCGGGCGAGTGGGGGAGGGATTTCTTAGCCCCCCTCACGCTTCAAGTCCCCACTCAGTTGCGTCGCAGTCCCATCCCCTCCTGCCCACCTAGGTCAAATTGCCAACGCGCTGCTCGCCAGAGAAGCCGATGTCGACGAGGGAGCAGCAGATGTGGGCGCTAACCGACAACGACGAGGAGAGGATGGGGAGGTTGGCGGAGATCGACAGGTGGTTCCCGACCACGAAGGCCCTCAACAAGGTGTCGTTTATGGTGAGAGGGAGGATGGACGACGACGAGCTGCTAATGTGCTTCCTCGATTACGACGTGCAGCCGACCGTGAGGGTTCTCCCGTGGGCTGTGCTGGAGGTAGAATCACTGATCCCAGAGCAGAGGTTCAAGTGGAGGGTGTTCAGATCCCTCCACTACAGACAAGCTCAGCCTCCAATGGAGGCGGGGGAGGTTGTGATGAGTTTACTGGCGCCAGGCTCGAGGGTGGCGCCGATCAAGATTGTCGACGGTGAGGTGGATCGGCGTTGATCTCCCGAGGCGACGCTTCCGCTCTGCCGTCAGCCGGCGCTGCTGCGGGTCCGGCTGTCGCGCCCTTGCCTGCCCCTGGGGTTCGCGTGTCAGTGTCGCAGGCCGCGAAACCTTCGGGCTTGGCACTCCTGAAGAGGGCGAGGGAGTACGTCGCCATAGACCAGTAAGCGCTTCGTCCTGATCCTTCGTTCCTGTTTTTGCCATAGTTTCTTGATGTCTCCCTTTGCACTGACAGGCCAACGTCGGTGGTGAAGAAGAAGAAGGGGACGGCCGCAATAACTGAGGAGGGTAAGCGGGCCGTCAACCTGGCCGCAGCCGCCAGTGAGGTGGCGTTGAAGGATGCCGAGGACGCTAAAGAGCGCTGCCGGGTGGCGGAGGCCGAGCCGGAGACCCTGCGCACTGAACGTGCTGCCGAGGCTCGTCAGCACAAGACACGGGAGGAGAAGCTGAAGGCTCGAGAAGACGCGGTCGCCGGCCATGACACGGAGCTGGAGAAGCTGGCCATGGAGCGCCGCCGCATGGAGGAGCTGGGGAAGAAGATGGAGGCGGAGAAGGCCCAGCTGGAAGCCAAGGCAAAGATTCTTGTTGAAGATCGTGCAACCTTCAAATCCCTTGAGCTGAAGTCCCGTGAAGCACTGCAGGAGCTCTACGGGAAGGGCTTGAAGAAGCCGTTGGTGACCGACGAGGAAGGCCCCGCCGAGCTACTTCCCCAACTCATCACGGCGCTCGAGAACGTCGTTAATGGGATCGGCCCTGTGGTGGAGGAGGAAGCTCGCGCGCTCTCCTCCTCGGCTATGACGCACGTCTTCATCCACCTCCATCTTCGTGACCCCAGCGTCGACCTCGATGCCCTGCTCGAGCCCGTGGACGAGGAGCACTACGAGGCTGCTGCCGAAGCCGTGAAGGACCGGGTGGAGGCCCTGCTGGAGAAATTCCTTGCCATCGACCCCGCGCCTCCGGCTGACGGTGCCGCCGACCCTGCGGCCCCGGCTGTCGGCACGGGAGACGGCAACGTCGTCGACGAGGGGGCACACCTTGCAGGCGACGGCGGCGCCCAAGGCTGAGGAGAAGGCTTGCTGGCGATACTTCCCTCTGCTTTTATTTCCTTCAACATGCACCGTGCCTCGTGGTGGCGTTAGAACTTGTGTTTGATATCTGAAGGACAGTATGTCTTGTAATAATTTGTTAGGATTCCGTGATTTCCTTCCCGTTCGCTTGGTGTTCTACGTCGGCAGGGCCCGGCCCCGCGCATACCTCAGCCGCCATTGGGTTGTCCGGATCACCAGGATGAGACCAATGGGTGAGGGGCTACGTGACCAGTTAGGCTCCTGAGTCGCGATGCTCAGGAGTCCCCCTTGACGCGCAAACGGCCTGCGGGAAGGAGATGCGAGAGTAGTCCTAGTATTCTGCGTTGGAAGGGCCCGACCCCGCGCGTACCTCAGCCGCCGTTGGGTCGTCCGGATCACCAGGACGAGACCAAGGGGCGAGGGGCTACGTGACCAGTTAGGCTCCTGAGTCGCAATGCTCATGAGTCTCCCTTGACGTACAAACAAACCTCCATACCTGTCCTCGTCGAGGTTCCGCTCGGGATGGGGGCGCGACTACCAGGTCCGGGGGACCTGGCAGGGTGGCGTACGCCATGCGTGACCTGAGCGCAGCCCCCGTGCCCAGCCCCCTCGCACGACTCTCCTGAGGGGAAAGTGTTGCGACATGGCTGGACACCAAGCCGGGTGGCTCCTTGAGGTTGATGCGGCCATGGGGCCGCCCTCAGTTGTTTATCACCAGCGCGGAGCATAGCACTTCCGCACTTGCATGGGCATAGCCGCTCCTCGACCGTGTCGACTGCCAGCGCGGAGCATGGTGCTTCCACTGGTACGTGGGTGAGGGCTCCCTCTGAGTGGAGCCCCCGGGGAATGTAAAGCCTCGCCCTGACATGTGGCTTGCACGACAGGGCCAGACAAGGTGTGTCTGGGCACTCGTGAGCCAACGCGGGGCTCACGAGGCCCTACCTCAAGGCAGGTTGCGCCTGACTTGGTTCTTGACAGCTGTGGTGGACCCACGAGATGGTTAGACAACCTGCGCCAAATGAATCTCCTGAGGTGATCGCATGAGAAGGCTGAACACCAACGACCCCAAGAGGTGACATGAACGGGGCCGGGCCGCCAGGCAGAGCTCGGTCGTTGGGTTTATTGACGCTGTAGGGACGGACCCGACCACAGATGCCGTACCCAGTCTTCTTATGTGAAAAATCCTAAAGAAAGATAACTGACGTGCGACTCCATGGTGACGAGGCACAGGGTCGCGCTCCCTGGCTCGTCCTCCCGTGATTAACTCATGCGAGAACAAGGCACCAAGAGCCATGGGAGGTGACGTACATGGGAGCTGGCCCGCGAGCCAGAGCTCAGCCTCTTGGGTTTAGCGACACTGCAGGGACAGACCCGAGCCCAAACGTCGTGCCAGTCCTTAATCATGAGGCGGTCGTGGGTGGGTTTGCGAGGGCGTACGACATGCATGGTATCGAAGTACAGGCCAGGCATAATCTTAAGGTAACTCATCGAAGGAGGTAAGCTAGCTTGGATAAATGCGAG